TGCTTGGCGAGCTCACCTGGCAGCAGGAGCCTGACGGAAGTTTGGACCTCCCTCGATGTGATGGTGGACCTCTTGTTGTAGTGGGCCAGACGGGAAGCCTCAGCGGCGATGCACGCTGAAAAATGTCGTTCACGAACGAGTTCATGATCGACATGGCCTTGCTGGGAGATACCGGTGTCGGGGTGCACCTGTTTCAACACCTTGTAGATGTAGATGGCGTAGCTCTCTTCCTCTTGTGCTTCTTCTTCTTCTTGTCGGTCTTAGAGATGTTCTTCTGGGCCTTGCCAGATTTCTTGGCGGCCTTACCACTGGTCTTGGGCGGCATTGTTGTTGTTAAAACACAATACTAGACTTGAGCGAGAGCGGGTATAGTGCAGACGGAACGGAGTTCGGCAGCAATATAAAACGACATCAGAGATGAAACTTCTATATATATGCGGCAGCCGGCGGCGCAAACACCAAGGCATCCGCTCCGTAATCGACGAACCGGCGGACCAATCGTAGCCCTTTCAACGTCGAGAAAACTGGCGGTGGGGCAATATGTCGGGGAGGGAGGGGAGGGGAGAGGAGGGAGGGGGAGGACGCTTGCACGACGAGAAGTAGAGAACATTCGCTTGTAGAAAATGAATACAGTAATTATGCATTAAACACATCATATATTTTCACAGATAAATGTACAATAATTGTGTAATGTACATACATACATACATTCATTCATTACATATATATCTATAATACAGGAAATATTACCTATATATAAATGATGAATATATAAACTCGAAAAGAACTGGACCGATTTAAAAAAAACAAATATTTCACCATTAGGCCTACCTACGTTATTCAGCAAACAGTACCTAGGTTTTCCTTGCTATTAATAAAAATCAGTGTTATATGTGTAGGAATAATTGAAACATATTAGGTATCTTATGTTTTTTATTATTATTTCAATGAATGTGTGTTTGTATATGTATTTAAGTAGTTAATGTTAGTAATTATTATTGGTTATATCTTCTTTCTTTTTACACAGTCTATCTGTATCTCTTTTAAATTCTAACACTCCCATACATAACGGGCCTGCTGGAAGAAATTTCTTGTGAGATAAGCTGTGCCCTTGTACAATTTTTTTCTATTATTTATTCTTGTCTGTGTTTTATGTGTACATAAACTGTTAAATAAATAAATGAATTTACATAATTTGTACAGGTAACGTGGAAAGGCAAAGCACGGCGCGCCTGCAGCGAGGTGGTGCGCCGCGCGGCGGGCGACAGCGCGCGCGGCTACGCAGCAAATGAAGGTATGTAACATGTACCTAACCTAAGAATTATCACGGCGCAGCGCAGTGACGAGTAACATCCTAGCACAAGTAATTAATATGCCCAGTCTACAGCGTTGTACGTTGTACGTTTTGAGACGACACTGATAAAGAAACTGTCTTTTTAACATTGGATTATGTATCGACGAATCATATTGTGGCCCTGAAAAGGGCCTTTTGTTTGTATGTGTTGCATACGAGGGCGACGAGCTCAGCGCGTCCGACGCGATACAATATTGCAATAGGTATACGAGTGCATGGCGCGAATGAATGCACGCATGCATATATACACCACACAATATTATCCCATCGAAGCAACGCTTAAGCCTTCTTCTCGGTCTTCTTGGGCAAGAGTACGGCCTGGATGTTAGGCAGTACACCACCCTGAGCGATTGTCACGCCGGAGAGCAGCTTGTTCAACTCCTCGTCGTTGCGGATGGCCAATTGGAGATGACGAGGGATGATCCTGGTCTTCTTGTTGTCACGGGCAGCGTTACCGGCCAACTCGAGGACTTCAGCAGCCAAGTACTCCATCACGGCAGCCAAGTAGACAGGCGCTCCGGCACCGACGCGCTCGGCGTAGTTGCCGTTACGGAGCAGCCTGTGGATACGTCCGACGGGGAACTGGAGCCCGGCACGGTTGGAGCGGGACTTTGCCTTTCCCTTAACTTTGCCACCTTTACCGCGACCAGACATATCACGGAAAATCACCAAGTTACGCTCTGAGTGCGAGCGCGACGACAGTCGAGTGAACAACTAATTTTTAAACCCGGGCGTCCGCGGCATTTATATACTCGACCGGCGCGTCTCGCTAAGTGGGAGGGGTATGTAGCGACGAACGGGCGAGTGTAACTCGCAAAACGCGCAAGCGCGATCACGTGGACAAAAAATAAAAAATAAAAAAACAAACGAAAATAATTATATTCCTAGGCTGAGCTGCGAGATGCCACTATCAAACAGAAAAAAAAAAAAAAAAAAAAAAAAAAAAAAAAAAAAAAAAAAAAAAAAAAAAAAAAAAAAAAAAAAAAAAAAAAAAAAAAAAAAAAAAAAAAAAAAAAAAAAAAAAAAAAAAAAAAAATAAAAAAAAAAAAAAAAAAAAAATTTTTTTTTCAAATTGTCTTTGTCCTTAGGCTTTCTTTTGCATTTCGCGCGGAAAACGGAGTCAGTACTGTCAGATTCGAATGAAGCGCGCGCTTTTTCACTTTGTTGTTCTCTGTTTTTGACGGGATTAGATTGATTTATATTGTTTTGATTAATTATTCGTACGCTTCGATCATTATTGTGTCGTGTATTTCACAGTGTTTATGTAAACAAGTGTTGTGAAAGTGTTTTTCTTTCCGATCAGGTCATCATGCAAGTGTAACACACATAACAAAACAACCTAGCCCTAGCGTAGTAAAATTATATATGTATATATAAGTAAATAATTATTTACTTATTACATTATGTATGTGTTTTTGTAGGTACGTAATTCTAGTGAGTTGTATGTAAGTTATGTATTGTTTTGTAAGTAGGTAACATAGGAACCTTATGTCAAACTATATGCTTAATACACATTTATATGTACTTGTCTTTTTCAATATATATGATCTTTTGTACCTACATACTTAGTTCGCAATAAAGATTTTCTTGATAATTATATATCTAATGTGTGTGCGTCGTGCGTGTTTAATGGTTAGTTACGTAGGCACCTAGTTATTTGATACGTTTTTGACTTGTCTGTTTATATGAGAAACGAATAATATTCATGATAGTATTGTTAGCCCTGAAAAGGGCTGTTTTTTTGAAGCGCTCTACGAGCGCCGCGTTTGAGAGCGCGTGCACTCCCGCTGAGCATCTTGTTGCCGCCGTTTGATTTTCTTCATTTGTTGTTGTTGTTGACAGAGACTCGAGACACTGTGAGCGAGCGCGCAGCGCCCTACTTCCCGAGGACGACGATGTACGCTTCGAACGTAAGCGATGCAGGCTAGCTTGGCTGTGAGGAGCGCGCACGGTTCACGGCGGGCGACGTCGACGTCGACGTCGACCACGATCCGAGCGATGTGGTGTAGTAGGTACGCAAGGTGGGTGGATGGTGTTTAGTTCCACTACACACAAGCGCACACTTGCCACCGTCACACACACACACACACACATCACATCACATTGACAGCGCGCTGCACGGATGTTGTGGATGGACGTGCTGAGCCGGGCCGAGCCGAGCCCGAACCGAGCCGGCGCAACGCCCGCGCCGGCTGCCGCTTCCGTCGCCGCGTTTCGCGTCGCCGGTAAACCGGGAACGCCGCGCGTCAGATGTTTACTTCTTGGCGGCGGCTGCTTTCTTCGCTGCCGGCTTCGATTTGGGCGTAGCGGCGGCTGCCTTCTTGGGTTTGGGCGCCTTAGGTTTCTTGGTCGGGGGCTTGGCTGTCTTCTTAGCTTTCGGTGCGGCGGCTCCCTTCGCTTTAGCGGGAGCGGCGGCCTTCTTGGGCGCGGGCTTCTTCTTAGCGGCGGCGGCCTTCTTGTCCTTAGCGGCAGCGCCGGCGGACGACTTCGCCTTGGAGGGCGAAGCCGATGCGGCGGACGCAGATGCAGCAGCGGCCGCGGCCTTCTTGCTCTTGGCTCCGGCAGCTGAAGCGGTAGCCTTCTTGGTCTTCGTGGCTGCGGAGGCGGCGGCCTTCTTGGGCGCAGCGCCCGCTGGTTTCTTGGCGGCGGCCGATTTCGACTCGAGCTTGAAAGATCCCGAAGCGCCCTTGCCCTTGGTCTGGATCAGAGTGCCGGATTCGACGGCGCTCTTCAGGTACTTTCTGATGAACGGAGCCAGTTTCTCGGCGTCGACCTTGTACTGGGCGGCGATGTACTTCTTGATGGCCTGCAGGGAGGAGCCGCTGCGTTCCTTCATCTCCTTGATCGCGTTGTTCACCATCTCGGAGGTCTTGGGGTGGGTGGGCTTCGCCTTCGGTTTCTTCGCGGCTCCCGCCTGTCTGCCGGTCTGCTTCTTCGCCGGGGTGGCTGGTGCCGGAGCTTCGGTTGCGACTGCTGTGTCTGCCATTGTTTACAACGCACGCACGATCAACACACACACGAAATAGTAAGTGTAATACACAACAAGTTACTTGGGTAGTAGTAGTTTAGTGAGAGACTTAGATGTCGCCACTTATAGGTTTTTCAAATTTCGAACGCGTACGCCGAACGACGACGAAACTTTACCGTAACGAGCGCCTCTGTGTCGCGGGCGGATTTCTCTTTGGGAGGCTCGAAAGTTTTCACTAACACGTATCTAATAAAAGTTATTTTTCCAATGTTTATCGTCGCGGCGGACGCGTACAGTGATCGGATTAGGATAATACATGAACTTGACGAGGTCGTGGCGCCTGTGCGAACGCGAATAGTGCATAATAGGAACCGGGGCGGTTGTTTATTTCGGCGGCTGGTTACCGAGGCACCAGTGGGTCCAGTTCAAAATGTTATTTTCTCTATAAAAGTGATAGCGAGTGACGATCGAGGTCGACCCGCCAACAAGGAGGATATCGAGCTTGTGTGGTAACAGGACCCCGTCGATATTCGTCAGTTACGCGAACGCATTATCGACCTAAAAGTGAAGCGTCGTAAAACACGGCGAGCTCCGCGTCCGCTAAGGACGGTCTCGAGGCTCCGCGTCCAGGACGTGCAACCAATCGGTAATATATTTTGCTTTGTTCTTCTTGTTTATTATCGAAAGAGAAAAGTGCCCTTCGACAACAGGTCAGGACGGGTAGCAGCCTGCGCTGCACCGTCCTCCCGCAGGCACCGCACAGAGTACCTACCTAACGCCGCGCATTCGAAGACACGGCGACGACGGCGAACTCCCAACTTGGTCCGTGAGTCCGTCGGTTCGTCGTTCTCGTTGTTATTTATTGGTTTTCTATTTATTACCTACATACATAGGTAGTACCTAAATAAATCGAAAACATCGAGACTACACCTAGGTATGATGTGATGTATTTACCTACTTGACGTTGATTATTATGTACAGGTCTCGTATAATATATGATAATACCTACGCTAGTGAATAACATACTCCGACGGCATTTTTCAGCGGCGGCAGCAGCAGCAGTGGCGGCGGCAGAGGCGGCTTCGGCTTCGGCAGCGGCGACGGCAACGGCAGCAGTGCAGCCGGCAAGCAGCGACGACTACGGCCGAGATTGATTGAGGCGCGGCGCCGCGGCGGGCGCGAGTGAATTTAGAAAACAACAACAATAGCATAGGAATTAGGAGGTACAAACATTGTATAATATAGTAGTTCGAATATATTACTAGAATACGTATGTGGGATATAACATTTATTATTCTTTTAGTACAAGTACCTATGTATTTTATACTTACACACATAATATACTTACAACGTTATGTCGGTTTTTAATTTCATTCACACTTCTTCCTTTCTACACACAACAGCTAAGTACTTTTTACTAGGTAACAGCGAGTAGTCCACATTCTATATTATATGTAGGTATGTATATAATGTAACAAAACGGTTTTTTGTTATTTTTATTTAGTGGCTACTACTAAGCACCCACCAAGAATATGTGTTGAATGTTGTTGTACGTTTTTAGACGAACTCTGCATAAAGAAACATATTTAAAATATCGAATCATATGCGGCCCTGAAAAGGGCCTTTTTTTAATGTGCGCATATCTACATGCACCTACGTATGGTTGAACGACGCATGAATCGATACGTTACTGTGTACACATAGAGAGTACACGAACGCACGACGCACCCGCGTCCACCATAGTGTAGGTTCTGTAGAATAGCTGGTCGACGGACGACACGTTGGCCGCGGCGGATAGACACGGTCTAACCGCCGAAACCGTACAGGGTGCGGCCTTGACGCTTCAGGGCGTATACAACGTCCATGGCGGTGACGGTCTTCCTCTTGGCGTGCTCGGTGTAGGTGACGGCGTCACGGATCACGTTCTCGAGGAACACTTTCAGCACGCCTCTGGTCTCTTCGTAGATCAGACCGGAGATACGCTTCACTCCACCTCTGCGAGCGAGACGACGGATGGCGGGCTTCGTGATACCCTGGATGTTATCACGAAGTACCTTCCTGTGACGCTTGGCTCCTCCTTTTCCCAGACCCTTTCCTCCTTTACCGCGACCGGTCATCTTCTCGGTTAGTTTGTAGAATTTACGATAACACAACGAACGAACAGCGAAGCACCACGATCGAGTGCCGCACGAGTACTGGCTATACGCTTCGCGTACACTGGGCCTTTATTTATATACACGACGGGGTCTCGGCGGCGGCGGGGAATTCTATCCGGAGTGAGCGGGGAGAGGTGACTATCGAAGCGTTCGTTATAGGTTGATTTTAGGCATTTAATCTATGATTTTTATGATTGACATAGTATACTGTATTGCGAATTTCCCATAAATAATAATAAAAAAAAAAATACATGGTGTTATACACCCTGTATATGTTTTTTTTTTTTTTTTCTGTATTAATTCATTAATATAACTTTGATAATAGTAACCTAATAAATGAATGAAAATATATCTTAAGGATAAAAATAAAAAGTATATATACATATATATATATATTACATGCTTTTTATCTATCTATCTATCTATCTATCAATCAATGTATATAATAATGTAAGCTGCTTAAATTTTGACAAAATAAATTCATACAGAGTGTTTTCCAAAAACTTATCCGGGGGCATCGTCATGATGCTACTATAGTAGTAATTAAATTAAATTACATGAAAGGAAGGAAGGTAGGTAGGTAGGTAGGTATGTATGTATGTATGTATGTATGTATGTATGTATTTATTTTTGGATGTATGTATGTATGTTGTACAAAGATTAATGTTTGTTGTTGCTACGTTTTTAAGACACGTCCGATGTAAAGAAACATTTTCAACTGTCAGAATCATATGTGGCCCTGAAAAGGGCCTTTTTAGTGTGAGCGCGCACCGCCGGTCAACCGTTGATCAAGCGCGGGACACCTTAAGCACGTTCGCCTCTGATCCTACGCGCCAGCTGGATGTCCTTGGGCATGATGGTGACACGCTTGGCGTGGATGGCGCACAGGTTGGTGTCTTCGAACAGACCGACCAGGTAAGCTTCGCTGGCCTCCTGCAGTGCCATCACGGCGGAGCTCTGGAAACGGAGATCGGTCTTGAAGTCCTGAGCGATCTCACGGACGAGACGCTGGAACGGGAGCTTGCGGATCAACAGCTCGGTACTCTTCTGGTAACGACGGATCTCACGAAGAGCGACGGTTCCGGGCCTGTAGCGATGGGGCTTCTTGACACCGCCGGTGGCCGGTGCGCTCTTACGCGCAGCCTTGGTGGCGAGCTGCTTCCTCGGGGCTTTGCCACCGGTGGATTTACGAGCGGTCTGCTTAGTACGGGCCATTATTAGACAATACAACAGCGAACCGACTGTACAAACACAACAATAATGACGAGAAAACTGATCGTGAACGAGCGGACCTCTACGGTTCGAACGTGCGTGAGAGAATAAAAATCCAGAAGCGATCGTCGCCTCTATTTATACTGTACGTACTGTACTGGGTGACTGAGCGAGCGACTAGCGCCCTCTGTCTCTGTCTGGCGCGAAAATTTCCGAAATCAACAAAACGTTAAAAAAGAAAAAGAAGTATTTTATAATTTTTATCCTATTCGGATTTATATACTTATTTATTGTAATTGTATATATAATATATATACAGTATTATATTTTTTATATTATTCGTCTATGTTGTTGTTAGTATGTATTTTATGATAACTGTGTAACGTTAGGAAGAAAATAATCCTATAGGTGCAGATCTATAGGTACAAAATATGTATCACACAGGCAGTATGGTTTTATAGGGAGGTAGGTATATTATTTATGTATGTATATGCGTTCGTTTGTTTAATATCGAATTTTGACTCTGTCCGTCCGTGTAAAAACTATTCATTCATTCATTTATTTATTTATTTGCAACATCATTTTTCAATGGAATACGTAGGTACTAGGTGTCTGTCTATCCCAATATTGATCATGTATCTATAATCATAGTATTATTCTGTACTCCTATCTGTTATTTCCTATACTTTGTTGTATGTCTAGCTGCGAAAATTTGTTTGTGTGTATGAGATGTACCTCTTATATATTTATTAGGCAGTAGTAATATACTGTGTGTAAATAAACTACGTTTTGACGAGCATCTGATTCAAGAAACGTGAAATTCTCATCTTTCACATGATTACATTTGTGGCCCTGAAAAGGGCCTTTTGTTTTGTTATCCAGCCATCCCCTGTGGCGGTGCGGCGGTGCGGTGCAGTCGGTGCGTGCGTGCTCGTGGCCAGATTTTCGACGTGGCGGCGGTTCGTGGCGTCTGGTGGCGTGGTTCTCGAAATGCATCTCGATAAGCGCCCGTGCGTGTGCGCGTACGTACATAATGAATAGGTAAGTAAGATACCTATGTATATTTATATACGTAAACCCACACGACGACGCAATCGATCAACACTCGCACAAAACACCATGGCGCACACACCCGGAACACACGAACAACAAACACTGGCTCGGCGACACGACACGACACGGCGACGTCGTCCACAAACGCGGCGGTCACGAGGAGGCGTCGGCGGCTGCTTTCGCTAGCTGCCGGCCGCTCATTTAGAGCTGGTGTATTTGGTGACGGCCTTGGTGCCTTCACTGACGGCGTGCTTGGCGAGCTCACCGGGCAGCAGGAGCCTGACCGAGGTCTGGACCTCCCTGGAGGTGATGGTCGATCTCTTGTTGTAGTGGGCGAGACGAGAGGCTTCGGCGGCGATGCGTTCGAAGATGTCGTTCACGAACGAGTTCATGATCGACATGGCCTTGCTGGAGATACCGGTGTCGGGGTGGACCTGCTTCAGCACCTTGTAGATGTAGATGGCGTAGCTCTCCTTCCTCTTATGCTTCTTCTTCTTCTTGTCGGTCTTAGAGATGTTCTTCTGGGCCTTGCCAGATTTCTTGGCGGCCTTACCACTGGTCTTGGGCGGCATTGTTGTTGTTAAAACACAATACTAGACTTGAGCGAGAGCGGGTATAGTGCAGACGGAACGGAGTTCGGCAGCAATATAAAACGACATCAGAGATGAAACTTCTATATATGCGGCAGCCGGCGGCGCAAACACCAAGGCATCCGCTCCGTAATCGACGAACCGGCGGACCAATCGTAGCCCTTTCAACGTCGAGAAAAAACTGGCGGTGGGGCAATATGTCGGGGGGAGGGAGGGGAGGGAGAGTGGAGGAGTGGGGAGGACGCTTGCACGACGAGAAGTAGAGAACATTCGCTTGTAGAAAATGAATACAGTAATTATGCATTAAACACATCATATATTTTCACAGATAAATGTACAATAATTGTGTAATGTACATACATACATACATTCATTCATTACATATATATCTATAATACAGGAAATATTACCTATATATAAATGATGAATATATAAACTCGAAAAGAACTGGACCGATTTAAAAAAAACAAATATTTCACCATTAGGCCTACCTACGTTATTCAGCAAACAGTACCTAGGTTTTCCTTGCTATTAATAAAAATCAGTGTTATATGTGTAGGAATAATTGAAACATATTAGGTATCTTATGTTTTTATTATTATTTCAATGAATGTGTGTTTGTATATGTATTTAAGTAGTTAATGTTAGTAATTATTTATTGGTTATATCTTCTTTCTTTTTACACAGTCTATCTGTATCTCTTTTAAATTCTAACACTCCCATACATAACGGGCCTGCTGGAAGAAATTTCTTGTGAGATAAGCTGTGCCCTTGTACAATTCTCTCAAATCTATTATTTACTCTTGTCTGTATTTATGTGTACATAAACTGTTAAATAAATAAATGAATTTACATAATTTGTACAGGTAACGTGGAAAGGCAAAGCACGGCGCGCCTGCAGCGAGGTGGTGCGCCGCGCGGCGGGCGACAGCGCGCGCGGCTACGCAGCAAATGAAGGTATGTAACATGTACCTAACCTAAGAATTATCACGGCGCAGCGCAGTGACGAGTAACATCCTAGCACAAGTAATTAATATGCCCAGTCTACAGCGTTGTACGTTGTACGTTTTGAGACGACACTGATAAAGAAACTGTCTTTTTAACATTGGATTATGTATCGACGAATCATATTGTGGCCCTGAAAAAGGGCCTTTTGTTTGTATGTGTGTTGCATACGAGGGCGACCTCAGCGCGTCCGACGCGATACAATATCACGGCCTGGATGTTAGGCAGCACACCACCCTGAGCGATGGTCACGCCGGATAGGAGTTTGTTCAATTCCTCGTCGTTGCGGATGGCCAGCTGCAGATGACGGGGGATGATTCTGGTCTTCTTGTTGTCGCTGGCGGCGTTACCGGCCAACTCGAGGACCTCAGCGGCGAGGTACTCCATAACGGCGGCCAGGTACACGGGTGCACCGGCACCGACGCGCTCGGCGTAGTTGCCGTTACGGAGCAGCCTGTGGATACGTCCGACGGGGAACTGGAGCCCGGCACGGTTGGAGCGGGACTTTGCCTTTCCCTTAACTTTGCCACCTTTACCACGACCGGACATTGTCAAGATTGGTTAAGAATATCACGGAAAATCACCAAGTTACGCTCTGAGTGCGAGCGCGACGACAGTCGAGTGAACAACTAATTTTTTAAACCCGGGCGTCCGCGGCATTTATATACTCGACCGGCGCGTCTCGCTAAGTGGGAGGGGTATGTAGCGACGAACGGGCGAGTGTAACTCGCAAAACGCGCAAGCGCGATCACGTGGACAAAAAATAAAAATAAAAAAAAACAAGGAAAATAATTATATTCCTAGGCTGAGCACGAGATGCCACTATCAAACAGAAAAGAAAAAAAAAAAAAAAAGGTGCCAAACACCACATACCTACACTACATACATGTATAACATAAAAAAAAAAAAAAAATTTTTTTCAAATTGTCTTTGTCCTTAGGCTTTCTTTTGCATTTCGCGCGGAAAACGGAGTCAGTACTGTCAGATTCGAATGAAGCGCGCGCTTTTTCACTTTGTTGTTCTCTGTTTTTGACGGGATTAGATTGATTTATATTATTTACTAATTATTCGTACGCTTCGATCATTATTGTGTCGTGTATTTCACAGTGTTTATGTAAACAAGTGTTGTGAAAGTGTTTTTCTTCCGATCAGGTCATCAGTGCGTAACACACATAACAAAACAACCTAGCCCTAGCGTAGTAAAATTATATATGTATATATAAGTAAATAATTATTTACTTATT